CGACGGCGACTATTTTGTTGTGCGCCTGCTGCCACTACCACTACTAAACTTATTATATACTACTACTACTACTACTACTGCTACTGCTACTGCTACTGCTACTGCTACTGCTACTGCTACTGCTACGGCTACTACTTCTTCTACTACTACTACCACCGCGATTTGCTAGAGCACTATCGAACTGACATATGGCCAAATGATTACGAATGCCGTTAATGCGTCTTCCCTGTAAACTATTGGCATGACAAATCTGATGTGCTTCACCGCTTTGTAGTGGGCGAAGAGTGGACTTGTGCAGATATGGTTTATCCCTAAACCCTGAACCCTAAAACCCCAAAAATTGTAAAGCCCTGAGATCAGGATCCTAAGTCTTTGTGGAATGGGCCGTGCTAGAACCTACCAAATGACACGCGGCAGTTTCCGATTCAATCTATTGGGTTTTGCAGGTTGCAGGCTTGGGTTGCAAGTTTAAAACTATGGCCTGCCAACCCAAGAAGCTAATATAATATAGTGACCTTGCTAATGAGAATAGGTTTTTGGTTTGTATATTGTACTATAGACTATAACCACAACAAGAAGCCCCCCGAAATAGTATAGGCAATTAACAATTAAGGCCCCTATGTTACATACCAACTACTGACTCCGCACATCGGGGCTTAGGGGTTGACTCTGTTCGACTACAACGCGTTTAGGGTTTAGGGTGTAGGGGTTAGGGGGCTATGCAAACCGACTTCCACCAAGAACCCGACTGCAAAAGAGGGACCTGAAATCTAGCATGGAAGCGCGGCTACAAGTCCCGCGACTGACTCCTTCTGAACTTGGCCGCAGCACGATAAATGACGCGGCCCAAACAGCTCAACTGCATCCAGAAGCCCAACATCCCAGATTCCCCGATAAATCGCCGGCCTAAACCCCCCATTAGTGGCTCGGGATTTAGTGTTTTATGAAACAGCACGAAGGGCCACCAGCATAAACTCCACATGGTTGGCTTTTTTGGTTAGCGTTCAGGATAGCATGGGAACCTGACTGAGAAACCTTGGGTCTTAATAAGGGCTCCTAATATGAATCTCATATTTTTTGGGCTTTAGAGCCAGGATGTCTCGAGCAGATTCCTACATTAAACACTATGAACCTCTCAAATCCTCTAAGCCCTAGGCCCTAACTCTAAACGCTAAACCCTGGGCCTTTTGAGGCAGGCCAGGAACCCTAAACCCTCAACCCCTACACCCTAACCCCCTAAACCCTTAAACTGCCCTAAGACCTAAACCCCAGGTTCCTACATTAGCAATGGGCCTTTTGAGGCAGACCATCGTGGTTTTGCTGCACCCAGTGGGCCAGCAGCTTGCGCTTGTAGAAGGACGTTAGGATCCTTGGCAAGGGCTTCGGGTCTAAAGTTCAGGGTTGAGGGTTTAGGGTTTAGGGTTCAGGGTTGAGGTTTTAGGGTTTAAGGGACTCCGCAGCTTTGTTGTTCACGGGTTTTCGGTTTAGGATGGGCCTTCCAAACGAAGGCAGGAACAGTGCTGATGATGATCATCTCTCTCTCTCTCTCTCGCTCTCTCTCTCTCTCTCTCTCTCTCTCGCTCTCTCTCTCTCTCTCGCTCTCCCTCTCTCTGCCTCAGAGCTAGGCATTCAGGTCTACGTGAAAGTCGAAGCGTACACCTCGACCTAGGTTTTCGAAATGCTAAACCGGAGGCTCCGACCTCAAACCGGGCCGAAACCTAAACACTCTTAGGGACCTTGGACCTAAACTCCAAAACCCGAGAAGCCTCGTTGCAGCGATGGCGCCGGTGACATTCGGTAGGTTCCGCATGCAGCCCCTCCTCCAACGGCGTGTCCTGGAGTTCAGGTGTCTTGCATGTACATGTAAAGAGATAACTGAAAGGAGGCATGCTTACGTATGTAGGTAGGTAGGTAGGTAGGTAGGTAGGTAGGTAGGTAGGTATGTATCTGTGTGCTTACTTGTGTAGTTGCACTATGTATTGTGCATATAATGCATATGTATATTATATATATATATATATGT